AGTGTTGCTCTAGAGTTGCTGGGTGTTCTGAGTGATTGCTAGGGCGTTCATATAGAGTTGCTATCTGTTCTGACTGATTTCTAAAGTGTTGCTCTAGAGTTGCTGGGTGTTCTGAGGGATTGCTAGAGTGTTGCTATAGAGTTGCTAGGTGTTTTGAGTGATTGCTAGGGCGTTGCTATAGAGTTGCTAGGTGTTCTGAGTGATTGTTAGGGTGTTGCTCTGGAGCTGTTAGGTATTGAGAGTGATTGTTAGGGTGTTGCTATGGAGTTGCTAGGTATTCTGAGTGTTTTTTAACATGTTGTTATAAGGTTGCTATGTCACTCCTAGGTGGATGTAGGGTTTAGTGAGTTTGTGAGTGGTCACTGGGGTGTTGTTATGCAGTTGTTAGGTGTTCTGGATGCCGTTTAGTGCACTGCTTTATGGTTTCTAGGGTATTCCGAGTAATTACTAGGGTGTTGCTTACTGGCCCGATTCCAAAGAGTCAAACCCTATGAAGGACAGATAATGTTTCCACAGGTTTACATGAGGTAAGAATCACAGGTTTGATCACTTGTAATAACACCTCTCCTCAAATTGCTTGTGATGTTCTTTATTTGTCATTTTTCAATAAAAGCATCCACTAAATGAATAAATGTAAATGCAAATGTAAATAATTTGAGGTATCATTCATGTGTGGAATTAGCTACTCACCAAAGTTTAATACTCAGCATTAGGGGTTTGTTGAAATCCCTAACCATAAGTGTGTGCAGCAGGAATGGCAGGCACATCTAATATACCATTCATTATGAGAAACACATGGCCGATAATACATTACTCAAAGAGACATTAGAGAGAGTTTTACAAAGTCCTATGCCAAGTGAACAGGGGACAGATATATGTGTGCGTGTGTGTGTGTAGATGACGGGCATATTGATGGGTATGGCAGTTCCACAGAGACAGATGGCACAAGCACTGCATGAAAACACACACAGGGCAAACTCAAGTCCCAGAGAGTGGCACTATTCCAAACCAATTAATCTGTCATTGGGCAAACTTCCCGCCGTACACCTACCCTGAAGAAAAAAAAATGAATGCAGTGTGTTTGCATATGAACGAGAGAGAGAGAGAAACGGATACTGACAAAAACTTAAATGCCTAAATGACAGTCTATGAGGCCCGTGAGAGGCTGTGATAGAGCGGGTATGGGCTGAATGGCTGAATGCCACAGCGCAGGTGAGACACATATCTGCTGTGCAGGGCAAAGCGGTTCAGACCTCCAATCAGCTTCTATTACACTGAAGGAGTTGTGAAATACCAACTGCATCAGAGGAAATGTCAACAACCAGACTGCCGACTGCAGGGGAGAGCTGGCTTGATTACTATGTTGTATTAACCTTGAATCTGTTGCTCCAGGTTGCTGTGTGTGTGCTGAAGTTTGTGGAGGTCATTTTAAGCCATTCAACTTTGACCTCAATAGACTTATAAAACCACGTTATCTTTGGCATCACAACGTTTACAGTAGATAAATGTTAATTTAATATGTTATGTTTTAAAAGAATTATTCTTACCAAATGCTGTATTTATTTGATCAAAAAAGTCAAAAAGTAATTGTGAGATTTTACTATAATTTAAAATAAGCGTTTTCAATTTGAATACATTTTAAAATAATTTATTCCTGTGATGCAAAGCTGAAATTTCAGCATCATTACTCCAGTCTTCAGTGTCACATGATCCTTCAGAAATCATTCTAATATGCTGATTTAGTGCTCAAAAAAACATTTCTTATTATCATCAACATTGTAAACAGTTTTGCTGCTTAATATTTTTGTGGAAGCAATGATATATTTTTTCAGGATTCGATAACACTTTATTTTAAGGTGTCCTTGTTACACATGTTACATGTACTTACTATTATAATAACCATTAATTATGCATAATTACATGCAAGTAACCCTAAGCCAAACCCAAATCCTAACCATATAGTAAGTACATGTAGTTAATTAATATTACTCAGTACTTATATGTATAATTACACTGTAACAGTGTAACCCAGGATTCTTTAAAGAATATAAAGTTTAAAAGAACAGCATTTATTTGAAATAGAAATGCTTCGTAACATTATGTTTTTACTGTAACTTTTGATCAATTTAATGCATCGTTCCTCAATAAAAGTATTAATGTATTTTAAAAAATGACTCCCAAAATTTTAAAGGTACTGTATTTTTATTAATTTTATAAATATGTATGTATTGATTTGTGTCAGGGCCCTGATAGTTTTCTATAGTGATAATAACTGGCTTACTTTATATTATCACTTGTTCCTTACAAGAACAGTGCAGACTGAATCAAACAGCAGAACAGGCTATTTATTATTCAGCTATAAATATTAAATCTTTTGTTGAAGAGGCCTTTTACTCTGAGATCATGAGACAAATGTAACCCAAATTTAATAAATTCGAAACTAATTCTTGCTCAGGGCATCTCAGGTGAAGTGAAGAAGACAGACGGAGCAGCTCTCCACCTGAGACTTGACTACTCTTAGCTCAGATCTACTGCATGACTTGATATCTCCTTAATTATGGTCATTAAAAAAACATAAGCTATTTAAAAGTCAAGCTCTTAAAGTCAGGACCCTCTGTTTCACTGTTTCAGGCCTCCACAATCATCTTCTTCTGCTGATTTTCATAGCTTCACTCTCTGGTGAAGTGGTGCAAAGTGTTGCAGATTTAACCTTTTCTCTCTCCTCTGAAATATAAAGCATCAGAGCTGGCAGAATGTGTTAACGGTATTTCGGCTGTGTTTCATGGACTGATCATTCAGGTCAAAGGGTAAAGCTGCCGTGGAGAGATGAGGTTTCTGGGTCAGTGGCCTTCATATCCCTCAGGGTGTTTCTCATGCCAGCTAATTCAGATTTCAATCTCTCAGTCTAGTCTTTATAATGCCTTTAATATGAATGTAATTATCTCCAAATTGTTTTTGTAATCATTGTGGAATCTGCCTTAAGAACTAATCCTTAAAACTCATTAATAAATGTAATACAAAATGAAAATAAACTTGGTAAAATGTCTATGGCTGCAAATTTTTCATCCTAGGAATTCAGCCAACTTCAAAGGCAAAAAATGCTCTTTAAAATAGTGCCAAACCTCAAAAAGTGACATAATTTTGCATTTAAAGACTGTTTACACAAAACCGCTTCACTACTTTTATATATAATTTTATAGGCTACTATAATTTTATAATATTTTTAAAGAATTAATAGTCAATCATTATGTCAAACGACCTGAAATTCTTATTTTCAAGAATCTTAGACTTTCACTCTAAGTTTTTTTCTCAGGATGATGGTTATATCATCTTGAATTCTTTTAAAGAATACCCACAATTTAATTCTGAAACTGACTATTAATTGGCTCTAATTGAAAAGTAGTTCCTTGTAATGAATCTCCGCAAATGTAGCTATATATACTGCACTGGATGTGAATTATTTACAGGTTTATTACCAATTAGATAATTCATAAAGACCCAGAGAGTGAGAGATGTTCTGTATGACTGACAGATCAAACGCCGGCTCTATGCACACGGCCTGGTTCTGTCATCTCAACACTTATATAGCACTTCTGTCTGATCTGGGCTTTGGTACTACACACCTAAATAATGCTCGAGTTTGAGATCCCCTGGAAGAAATCACATCACAGGTCTGAATTTCAGTTTCACAGATAACAGAGAAAGAAGATATGCAAGAACTTCTATGCCATATAAAGGCAAAAGTGAATCCTAACACACAACTATCATAAAGAACTAGAGCCCGACCGATATATCGGTTTGCCGATATTATCGGCCGATATGAGCCTGTCGCCGATATATCGGTATCGGCGAATATGCCGCCGATATGAAATTTTTTTTACAGAACATGTAACGCAGATAAAATGCTTGAAATGGTGTAATTACTTAGTTTGTCCAGCGCTCCATTGTTGCTACTGGCGACCTGGATGAAACGCTTAAAGCTTAAGTCTATGGAAAACTATTGAAACTTTGAACGGCCACATCTC